CTCGTTTAGCCAGTCCAGAAGCTTGGGAAAACATATCTTTAGCAGTCCAGTGGTTCCAAAGTGACCTAGATGTTGATGCATTAGAGAGCGAAATCTTTTCTTTGCAGACATCATTGCAGACATCATTGCTGCTCACCAATGTCAATAAAAAAGCGAAGTCCGAGAAGAGAAAGGCCAGTTTTGACGACCTATTCAAGGTGTTGCAAACGGAGCCAGAATGCTACGGAAACGTCATAAAGCCAATGAAAATAACTTTGACACTGCCACTTACCTCAACTAGTGCTGAAAGAGCATTTTCGAAGTTGAAACTGATCAAGTCCAGACTAAGGTCAACAATGAAGCAAGAAAGGCTAGAAAGTCTTATGCTGATGTCTGTGGAAGCCGACATATTGGAACAGCTTGATCTGGAAGAGCTTGTAGAAAAATTTGTAGATATGGCTCCAAGAAAAATGGATTTAGTTTAAAGTTAGATGGATTCAGTTTAAATTTAGATAGCATAGCAAATGTGTAATGATGACAATAGGTCTAAAATTTTATGAAGTTTTCAGTTGGTAATCAACATAATTATTAAATCTAAAGATTTTGTCAAGGGTATTGCGTCTTGTTCTAGAGTAATATAACCGAATTTTGTGATTTATGACCGTCCAATTACTTTAAAAACTCGTATCAGAATGCAGGAAATGGCGTTTCCGAGCCCTGGAAACCAAAATTTTCCCGGGTGAGCATGCCCCCGGACCCCCCTAGGGGGTAGCGCTTGCCCCACCAAATATTCGACCCTGGCTACGCCACTGCTAGGGGGTTTACATTAAATTATTATCATCACACACACACACACACAAACACAAACAGGCTTACTAAATAATAGTCATAGAGAAGCGATCAGTATTCAATATGAAATTTTGAACTAACCCAAAAAAGCAAACAATTCTCTTTATAACTTAATTTTTCACAACCATGCAAGAATCAACTAACTTTTTCGCTATCACTACTCTCCAACCATGCTCGGCCACATAAATGTGCAGCAGAGGTAACGTTGAGCAGCAATCTTGTGCAGAATCACTGTGCCCAAGTAAAGCTGTAGAACCTAAACCTTGTGAAATATCTGTGGGCGATATGGCTGGTCTTGTTGACAGTGTCTCAACGTGCACAGAGCATGCAAGTGGTCTTCATAGGAAGAGTAGTCAAAATTCGAGCAAATGAGGCTCTTTTAATGGAATTCTGTAAAGTAGAAGGAAACGAAAAGTTCTACCATTATAGGCTTTATTTAACGAGGCTAACACTTTACAGTAGTAAATTAACACTGATGCAGTTATAGACAGCAGTTGGTGGGAAAATTTGAACTCTATCATATTCCCAATAGATGTTGTATATGACAGCAACGATCTGCATTCTACCGTTCTTGAAATTTACTATGCTGTTGATATTGAACACTTCTATAAGGTAAGAATTATATACATATTGTTATGTAATGAAAGTTTGTGAGATTTTTGAAATATTTTGAGTGAAAAATTGAATTTTTATTTTCAATGTCCTTCAACTGTATACAGCTATTTATTTATTTTTATAAACAGTATTTTATTAATCAGATTAAAAGCAATTGCTCCAAAAGCGTTGAAGCTTATCTAGGGAGCTTTTGCGATACAGCTATTTCAGTCCCTGAGTAAAGCGGAAAAGTCAAATACAAGTGCAAACGGCTGCTGGGAATCGCTAAGAAATTCATTAATTTCTTAGCGATTCCTGGCAGCCTTTTGCGCTCATAGTCCAATTTTCCACTTTGCTCTGGGACAACCTTAATTGAAATAGCTGTATACCTTCTTGGAACGTCTTTCTTCTGTCTGTACAATAAGCATTGACATTATATAATAGTGATACAATTGTTGTCTTAATGAAATGAGTCATTATTAGGTCTCAATCAAAGAGAACAAGTTTTCTGAGTTATCAAATGACTAAAAATTAAAAGGATTTGTTAATTTTAATAAGATATATTGGAAAGCTATTTATTACCAATGTATAAAACACCGCAAAGTGTGTGTAAAACTCAACAATAGATGACTAACACTTTTTTGTTGATTGGAAAGATATTCTTCTGTTTTATGTGATGGATTGAACATTATCAATTGAATATGCTGCTGAACATGATAAAGATCACAAGGACATTAATGTTAAGACTTTGAGCTTAACTCTGGGCTGAGAAATAATTCCTTACATGCGATCAAAATGTTTTATTATACAATGATGTAATTAAAAACGCTAAAGGCTGGTTTACACAACAAACATGATAGGGTGTTTGCTGTGACCTCGAAAAGTGCCTACAAAATCATTTTCATTTCCCATGTCTTGGAAATAAATATTTTTACGGGAACTAACACTTTCGAACACACCAAGTTCAAATCCAAAAAGTTCCCACACCGTAGACCCACAGTTTTCTCACAAACTGCTATTTTATCTTCACTAATTTCACAACAAATTTTATCATTGTTCAACAACACGGATGGATGAAGACAAAACTCCCATTTTGCTATTCACTTGTTTACATGACCAGTGTTTCCACAGCAAAAAAATTGATTTCCTCTTTTATAGCTTGAAATTTCCATTTTTTCGGACAAATTTCCTTGCAAAAATCTCTTTATTTCCTTTCATTTTTCCTTGCAGACGTCTATCAAAATTCATATTTTTTTAGCTCTGTGCGTCATCCTGGTATGACAAAATCAGTACCACACAGTAATTTAGCTACTGTAGCGCAGTTGTGCATGTAAACAATGTTAGTATATACTTGTAGAATAGAATAGTGTTTGCAGGCTCCTTAACTCTAAAATCACTTTTTTAGCATTTTAGCTTTAATAAAATATATACACTGCATTTAATAGACCTACAACCTTTTCAAAATAATCACAATCCCTTAGCTTTGGTTTAACCCGTGTCTCTTGTTGGTTGTCTCAATATTCACTGTTCAATAATATAATAATAATTGTCTTGGTTGAATTGTAATTTGTAACTTGAATCCCAAAATGTATATACTATATATTAAAAATTTTAAACTGTCTTCGTCCTGGATAGTTTTTGCCAGCAGTGCCAGTGCATGGTTTACTAATTCAACTGTACATGAATCTTACTCAGTCAAATTACTCAAATAGTTTCTCCAAGAACTTTTTTCTCAGTTCCTTAGCCTACCCGTCGGTGGCATTGGATTTCATTTCAGAAATCAGATCCAATACTTGCTTAGTTGGTTTTAGACCAGCTGCAGTATAGTTCCCATTTTTCATGGCCAACTTGCAGTGTAGCAGGGAAACCAGTGAAGAGGATTTCAAACGTGTGCGATCGTCTGTCTTGATTCTCTTCAGCAGACTGAACATTCTCTCAACAGCAGCATTGGAGAAAGGAGAAGAGGAAACAAGCTCAACAAATCTTGTCAGATTTGGATACTTTGGCTCTCCTGACGAGATCTTGGCATCTTTGATGACCAACCAGTATTCCTCCCATTTGAGATCAGGAGTGAGCTTCTCTTCAAACACATGCTCCCTCCATTCACCATCAAGCTTTTTGGTAGCTAAGACGGTATTGAGATACGGTAGCTTCTTGACAACTTCTGTCGGGGAAGGGGGAACATGAGCTGCAGCATTTCGAGGCAAAGTGCATTGGACGACATCATGTATCTCAGCTTCTATATCAAACTTTTGCAGGATCTGCTTAATACTTTCGATGAGAAAGTTCCTACAATTCATTAGAAAATTATGCACGTCAGCATGATCCTCTCCTGTGACTTCTTTAATTTCATGTAGGGTTGTGGTGGCTGCCAAACGAACGTAGGTTTTATCCAGTGGAAGTTGGAAACCAACATTTGATGGATCGATATCTTTCGGGTTGGTGGCTTTTATATAGGGCACCTCCATGAAATCACTTGAAATGGATCGGATCAGCCCCTCTACTTCTTCTTTAAGAAGAATGCGGTTGACACATGCCTCCAATGAAAGCCATCTCATTTGTGCAGGTGCGAGCAACTTGTGGGGCTCAACTTTAAAGAACTCTTGAAACTCCTTGTAGGTATCTTGCCTTTTCGAGGAGCGTCTGAAATGAGCAAATACATCTCGACACAAATCTTCCAAGCCTTTTGGCAATTGTAGGGCTGCCTGAGAAGATACTAAATGAATCAGGTGACATGAACACTTTACTGTGACAACATCTGGGAACTTTGCCCTTAGAAGTTGGGAAATGGAATTATACTCCCCGAACATGACGTTGCAGGTGTCAGAAGAATAGCCAATGATATTATTCACTGGAACATGCAGATCGCTGAATGATTGCTTAACTGCTGCGTATATGCCTTTCGCCGTCCCATCTTCGACTTCAACCATATCAAGCAACAACTTCTTTGTCTGGAAGCTTTTCATGTCAAAATAGGTAGCTAAAATGGCAAGCTGCTTGGCTGTACTCTTATCAGTTGTTTCGTCAATAATAAAACTGAATTTTCGAGAGCGCAATGTTGACACAGCTTAGTTTAGATAATCAAAGCCAAGGAATTGTCGTATCACATTGGTTGCTTTCTGCTTAAAGAGGGTAGCATGCTTGAGAGCATTATCAAGTGGGAAAAGGGATCGGAGAAGTGCAATAAGATCATCTGATGGAGAAATAGGCAAATTGTGTTCAGCAATAAATGCGCATAGCTTTATTTCGATTGAACTCGATTCTTCGCGGCTGGTAGCTTTTGTAAAAAGGCTAACGATTGTGCTGGTGCTTCCAGTGGTCTTCATTTGGGTCTGATGTAAACTGCTAGTTAAATGTCTTTTTAAACCAGTTTTTGAGCATGCCAGAAATTTGTCACAGACCTTCAGAGATGGATATAACTCATATAAGAAGATTATTTCAGAAATTATTATATACTATTTAACAACTATACGAAATAATATATACAATATCATATATACTATTATTAAAATACTAATACTAGACATACAAGAACACAGACTACACACTACACACTACACAGTGCAACTGCACAAAGGCATTAGGCAACATGCCCGCAACAACAGATAAGCCAACTAATAATGTTGGCTGCTGCCTGCTGGGAGTCTGAAAATCCTTTCCATACCTTGCAGAATGGTTGTGCTGTATTGTTTTTCCCCACTCTTTTGCACAGCCAATCTTTAAACTATTTCTCAGTAAGCCAAGCATCCACAAAAGATTGAACATGCTTTTGTTGGCACTTTCGTTTGTTTGTAGAATTACTAGAATGTGAGACATCATCTTCCGAACTTGACGAATTTGAATAATCCATTATCCAATGTCCATATCACTATATTTAAATGGCTTAACCGCTTAAATATTGATGGCCATAACGACCGCCATTTTTTAATTCACGTAGAATATTCGCGTTTTTTTTTGTTTGCGTTTTTTTTGTCGTATATATGTCGTTAAATATTACATTAGCATATTTTTGTTGACCCACCAGCTAAATTAATATATTATACAATTTCATACATATGAAGGCATGGAAATATCGAAATTAGAACTATTTTATGTTTTTTTAAAAATATTACGGATATTCTTGCAATTTCCTTGCGAGTTTCATTTCCTTGCATTTTTCCTTGCAAATAGCGATATTTCCTGTTGCAAGGAAAAATCCTTGCATGTGGAAATACTGTACATGACAATTTTTTGTAGACACACTTTTATAATAAGCACCATGCCCATCGGAAAACGGCACCTCTACTTTCTGTTTGTGGCAGTATATTTTAAGGATGGTGGACGTAAATAGAATTGTATATTTATATGTATTGAAAAGAATAGCATTATAGACCTTATTCATAAATCGTGACGAGGCCTTGTATCCTAGGAAACGGGAACAAAACGCGGGAAAACAAGCGAAAACTGCTTGACAATCCAAATTCAGATGCTATTGTGTCTACTTTAACGGCTTGTTTCTTGTTGCTTTTTGCGATTTATAACGATATTTGTGTGTATTTTAAGACTTTGTGCCCACAACGAAAGCGGTAAACGAGTACATTATAAAAGCGACTTGTTTATCTCCCGTTTTTGTGTGGAAAAATAACAACGTAGCGATGGTGTTTATCCAGAAGCGAAAAACAGCATTTTACTGAGATTTTAATGTCAATATAAAGGTTATTCCGTGAAGAATCAAGGCAACTATGGAATGGAAGTATAATTTTTCGAATTTGACATAAATATGAAAGAAAACAACAGTCAAAAATCACAAGAGAACGTCAAATGTTATTGATTCGTACGGAAAAATATGAACTATGGCTGTGGCTCGATATAAACATTCTGCAAGCAGCTTACAAGTTTAAAAAATGAAGGCTACATTACCTGAGTGAGTTGTAATCCTATTTCTTCAACAATAGTTTCATATTTCTTACGATTTTGGTGTTGTATAGACGTTTTGTAGCCTTGTTGGTTGTTTGTTTTGCCCATACAAACTTGGCAATATAAATACAAAGTCAAGGTTTCCTTTTTCAATTGACTCCAGCATCTTTTGCTTTAAATATCGTGTTATATTTTTTCAGAAGTATTTTTTCAACTTTCAAGATCAGTTTTATAAATATATTTTTCGAAAAAAGCCGTAATATTCACGAAAAAAAGCTGCCATAGCCGACAGCAAAAAAACATTTTGTCAATTTTCCCGCGTTTTTCCCCATTTCCTAGGATACGAGGCCTCATCACGATTTATGAATAAGGTCTATATCAGCTGAAAATTGAGGGGAAAACCCACTTCTGTACTAGAAAAGTATGTTAAAAGACAAAAGTTGTTTTTTCGCCATGGTGTCAACCCACAAGCAACGGTTCAACATTTGCCTTAATGGATAAGAATGCATCCAATTCGGAAAAAAAATTCCATTCTTTCCCTTTACCGGTTGCAGATCTTCGTTTTTGGTCTTTCTCTGTCTTACACTTTTGCCCTAACTTTTAATTTTGTTGACAACATTCTGGGATGTAAAGCATTCAAAATGGCCATTTGTTTGCAGTGGAGTCTAAAAAAGGAAGAAAGTTGTTTTCAACTCCGAATTATTTAATACAAATTGCTGTTGGCCGATTGAAAATACAAATACATTAAAATAACTTTATAAATATTATGCAAATTCAGTGAAGCCTTATTATCTAAATATATAATGACTTACCAGTATTGCTTCGTAAATTTTTGATGTTTGTTTTGATGCTCCGGCACTGTTTGATTATTGCAGTCTGCTTGAGCCCGAGTTGATATTTCTTCTTGTGACTCTTTCTCTGAAGGCGAGTCATATTCTTTTCTATTCCTCGCTTGTATCCAAATGGGAGTCATGCGATGTCGAACTATCGTCAGAGTAAGATTTCGGAAGCATACATTTTAAGGAACAAGAGAAATTATAACTTTTTGTAGGCCCTGCTCTCTCAATGTTGTAGAAAAACACACATCATGAAATATTTGGTTACTTCTTCATGAAATATTTGGTTACTACTTCATAGTGGCGATTTGTACTCAGACTCTTTTCTCCCGGCCACATTTTAAGAAACTCTATTTTTTGGCATGTTTGAGCTAAAATATCTCTGGAAGTATTTATCTGTTGCAGGAAAGAAATATATCATTCGAATTGTCTCACCACGGCCGATTTTTGAGAAAAAAATGTTAATTGTGACATATGCACTTACTTTAATATTCTTTAGCAAAGCAGTTTATGGAGGCGTTGAATCCAAATCATGGCTGCTATTCTTTGCAGAAACTCGTTATATTCTTTTAACCTACTGCCCTTTTAACCTACTGCCTTCTAACAGAACACTTTGGTTCTTGTACCAACGTATAGTAATATCACTTGTCTTAAGCTCCTTGCAGCCCCTGTGAGGAACGGACCATTTTCCCTTGATATTTAGAATTTCTGCTACAAATTGTTCAAATAAATTGAAACCGCTAAGCCATTTGAATCTACCACTATTAAAAGTTAGTGGATTAACCTTCGCACTTTCGTTGCTATTATTAAGATCCATTTCAGACTGAGTAATGTAATGTAACTAAGTAATGGCAAAGCTCAAAATACATGTCTTTACGGCACAACGTTAAGGTATTATAAATTCCTCAAAACAACATTTTAGTGCAAAATGTGAATCTTTATATAACACAATGTATTATCTGGTTTATGGTTGCACAAGTAACAGCAAGAAGAATAAAGAATATACATTACATTATTTTTCATTTCCAAAGCAGACTAATAAAGATCAGAAAAGATGTGTCCGATAGAATCTGGATAGAATTTTGCAAGCAGAAAAAATTTCGTCCATCAAAATGCACCTGTTTGTGCTCGTTACATTTTGCTTCAGATTCATATCTTCCGTCGCATTCTCCAGCTTTTTTGCAATCGATCAATTTTGAGGCAAAATGAAAATTAATTGCTGTGCCGACTCTAAGGTTCAAACCATTCTGATAGAGTACCTTGGGAGAAATAGGAGTACCCAAACATGTTCTAGGAAAGTTGAAGGAACAAAACCCACATTAGTAACAAAAGGAACACAAACTTTTATCACCAATGACACCCTTATGGCCAGACTTTCATTACCCAGGAGAATATCAGCATGTTCACAAACTGACCCAATAGATCCAACGTACAAGGAACTTATTGATCCAATAGACTCGATTCAAAAACAGGATGATACAGTGGTAAGTGGTAGAATTGGCCAAAGTCAAAGCTTGAGTGAACAAAATTTGCTGTTGAGTTGAAAATGAACAAATACATTCAAATTGATCAAAATTCAGATCATATTGACCAACAACAAAATGAGTTGGATACTTGGATATAGAATTGGGCGCGGACAGTGAAAAAAGTTGTGGTGAAGAATTTTCAGCAACATCGAAACAGACTCTGATGAAGGAAACAATCATGAAGACAAATGGCAAATCTATCCAAGATCAGCTAAAATTTATAATCTCCAAAGAATCAATTGCAACAATGTTTGGTGTTTGATTTAAATGCAGAAGTGATCTACATCTCAGATCAGAAGTTATCTACATCTCCTGTTGTTCATCAGCAGAGCACAATATAACATGGTCAGCAGGCCCCCTGTTGAAACAAGAGTTGACTGATGGGTTGTTGTGTATCCCAAAGCCCACAAGGGTGAAAAAGCAAGTTGCAGAAAAATAAAAGAAAATTCAACATACAGTAAGTTTTGTGGATATATCAATGTGATTTTTTAGCAAATTTTCGATCAAATGCCCCCCCCCCCCACCAGGCAATAAATATAGTCAAATGTCACACCATTTTGCAATAAATACTATATTAAGCCATTAACAGGCAATGCGCCCAAATGCGTCCTACTTTAATGCCAGACAATTTTACTCATCAGTGATAGAGTGCTGGTTAATAATAGTCATTTGGTTCCAATTCCCCTAACTCGGGCCCAAAATGCTAATTTCCCACATATGACCGACTTCTCCCCTCTGGGGCCTAACATTGACACATGCATTAAGAAAAAGAGACTCGAATTTTACTTTTTTATAAACAGTTATTATTATGCACACAATCCTGTATTTGTGGACAACTGCTTTGAATAGAATTAACTATTAAACTGCAACTTGTAAGACCCATCCCTTGACAGGTGCAACACTTTGGGTACAATGCCTGTTAATTGGTTGAAAATTGAAGTGGTCTGGTTTTAATACCAATTTAGAATATATAGTTGGAACCCCTCAAACTGAGGACAACATATCCAATGCATATGCAATGCTGAAAGAGTACAGCAAGTTCTCAACACCAGTGTATCCAATTGCAGATGATGGAATCACATGCAAATATGCCACTGTTATATGCCCATGTAAACTTGTTGACAAGAGCTATACACCAGATTGTACATATAAAAGATAAATATTAAGTAATTATTATTATTATAAGATCTTGGCTTAATCTATGTACAGTACTGTATCTCCGCCATGCAATTGATCACATATCATTCACAATACAGAATAATCCAATATATATACTGTTTTTCCAAGATTTGTAATATAAAGATATTATTTTGCAAATTTAAAGTGAGTGTAGAGACCTAATGGTGAAGAAAATTTATTTCTAATGCACATATATACACAAGAAGGGAAAGCTCTGCGACGCTTCTTTCCCAAAATAGCAAACACCCATGTGGAGCATCTTAGGTAAGAGACAAGACAATATGACATATGTTTGTTCTAATTCATTTCTCCAAATGGCCAATTTTCTTCGAGATATTGTGATACGTCAACATCAAGAATATGTTACCATTTCCCTTTAATAGACATACAACACATGATCAGCAGCAATGCTGAGCTAAAAAAAGAATTGTTCAGTATTGAACAGAAAGCAATTGAAAGAAATTCTTCTTCGAAAGAAATTGAGGGAATCAGTCAATATCTGAGACAGGATTGGTTTGAAATTACAGGCATCAAGGCAAGCGATGAAGAAGCATGTGTTGATGTGGTTAAAGCTATTGGTGAATTGCTAGAAGTCCTACCAGTACCATATGAAGATATTTCGATAGCTCACCCATCACCTACTTATAATAAGCACTGGCCCACCAAAAATTATTGTCGAGTTTACGAGAAGTGAACACCAATCATCTTGCGAGCATAAGCCAGCGAGTACCAGTATTGGTTTGAAATTACAGGCATCAAGGCAAGCGATGAAGAAGCATGTGTTGATGTGGTTAAAGCTATTGGTGAATTGCTAGAAGTCCTACCAGTACCATATGAAGATATTTTGATAGCTCACCCATCATCTACTTATAATAAGCACTGGCCCACCAAAAATTATTGTCGAGTTTACGAGAAGTGAACACCAATCATCTTGCGAGCATAAGCCAGCGAGTACCAGTACCCAACAAGTAGCACAAAAAAGTCTGTTCAGCAAAACCCACAAATCATGATTGCACCCTCTCTGACAGGAACAAATAATGAATGTCTGAACAAAATGTTATTGGCGATGAAATTCTGGTTTAATGGATTCTGGCAAAGAAGGCACCATATTTATGGACATGTCAATTTTATTTGGCATGTTTGATCAAGTCTTAAAATGCACAGAATGTGGACACAAAATGACTTCTCATATTGACATGAAGAAGCATCGCTTTTCACATTACATTGTACCGGAATGTGAGCATACTGAATGTGATTGGAAATACGGCTTCCATACTTCGAAAAAACAAGGGCCATCATTTGAAGTAAATGTGAGAGCTGTCCTCGCATTTAGAGAGATTGGCAGAAGCCATAATACTATGGTGACTTTCACCAAACTTATGAACATGCCATCACCACCAACCCATCGTAACTTTACCAAAATACAGAACAAAAAGTTATTGCCTGTTGTTAAACAGGTAGCCAATGATAGTATGATGAACAATGCCATGAATGTCAAGGATTGTTGTGGAAATGAGAAAAGTGAATGTGGAATTTCCCTTGATGGCACTTGGCAAAGACGGGGCCATGTGTCACACAATGGTGTTGTTACAGCAATAAGCCTGGATACCAAGAATGTTCTGGATGTCGAAGTACTCTCCGACAAGTGCCAAGCATGCCAGAAATTGCAAACGAAACAAAATGATCCAAAATACCAAGAATGGAAGGCAAACCACCAGGTGTAAGATCAACCACACTGGGTGTGCCAACTCCATGGAACAGTTGGTGCTTTGCGGATTTTTTAAAGGTCATACATGAGATGGGGACTCATCAACAATATAATAGGAAGCAAGCCTTACAGAGATGAATGTATACCCAAGAAATTGGAGTGCATTGGTCATGTCCAAAAACAAGTTGGCAGCAGGTTGTGCAAGTTAAAAAGTGCAAATAAAGGTTTGAAATTGGCTGATGGGAAAGGACTAGGAGGCAAAGGAAGATTGACTGATGGAAAGATTGATGTTTTGCAAAACTATTATGGAGTTCCTGTGAGGGAGAATTTGGATGATGTAGACCGAATGGCCAAAGGATTTAAGCAAGTTTATTATACCATGTTGCTTCGACAGATTTAAACCCTCAGCTTCATCTTTGTCGGTTTGATGCAGATACAAGAGGGAGAAAAATCATATAAACCACAAGAATGGTATCCCTCAGTGCATTGTCAAGGAAATTAAACCAATCTTTGATGAACTAAGCCAACCTCAATTGCTCCATAAATGCACTCATGGAATGACACAAAACATCAATGAGTGTCTAAATGGCCTAATTTGGGATTGCTGTCCCAAAACCACATATGTGGAACAGGAAACTGTAGCTCTGGCTACATATATGGCTGTCCTGACATTTAATAATGGGGACATTTTGTGCTTTCTAAAGATTTTTGAAGACTTAGATATCAAGCCTGGTTCATTTACTGTACAAGGTTGTCAAGATTGTGACCAATCAGGAATTGAGCTGTCAGTCAAAGAGAGCAAGGAAATAGTAAAAAGCAGAAGAAAAACATTGAGACACCTCAGGAAAAGATTTGTTGATGATATGGAAGAGGAAGAAGGTGTGGTTTACGAAGCTGGGAGCTTTTAACACTTTTAAAGTTACATTGACATTGAAGCAAATTTTCAATTCAATTTTCTCATTTTTGCTATTTCTCAGGTATCATCAATCTTTGTGACATAATGTTGTAAATATTAGCTGTATCAGATTGATATTTTAAAACTTGACTAAATTTTTTTTAAAGGATTTTAAACAAAATCGAAGAGCTTCAGGCATTAGTTCATTCTCCAATCTTTCTAAAAATATATTGTTCATTAAATTTGGTTCGTTGGTTCCCGAGTTATGATGTTTCCGAGTTATGATGTTTCTGATGCTTTTGCAATTATGTGTTAATTAATGACTTTCCCAAAAATTTTTTCCATGGGTCAATTTTTTTGTCCATGGCTCTTTCCCTTACCCTTTCAAAATATGATATTTTCACATTGATCTCTTTAAAAACTAAGAAAAAGGTTGTAGTGGAGTTTGACTACCTTAAATACTCTGCATAAATGAGCATTTGTCTTGCGTGGGCAAGACACACGTTGATGGGATGACAAGTTGATAAAAGAGGTAATGGTTTTTCAGAAACTTCTAAAATGGGAATTTCTTGTGTCCTATTTGTTGGCAACATTGCAAGAATGAAAATACAACAAAGTTGACGTGTTCTACCTCTTGCTGATGACATGGGGAAGCTCAAAAAACATCATTACACACACTTACACCAGGACTTTTCACAAAGGTCATCCATACTACACTAGCATGCGAGCCGGCGAAATCGGCATCTCTCATGCACAGCAACATGTGTAACATACATATCGTAAGACTCGTTTATCATAAGGTCGATTTATGCATTACGTGTGTTCATCGACTACAAACCAAATCCACTATATACAATTTCAATAACATACTTTTTTATTTCCCCCAGATCAGCAGCTAGTGACATTCAAACAAGGGAGCCCCACAATCACTTCTCATCATCATTGTGTATATAAGGTGAGCAGTGGAAAAGACAGCATACTTAAGCCTAGTTGCCATAAGGTCTTTAGCTGTCGTTACATGTCTTTCGGGGTCCTTGGAGTAATCTTGAAAGACCGATAACAACTGAGTGAAACAGAAAACGACAGTGTCACTGGCAATCTTTAGCCTTCAAGAGAGGATGTCCACAAAAATTATACATAAGGCGGCCACGACGGAAAAATCGATTTTGCTCAAATTTTGCCCAGATATACCTTATTATATCGGAAAATGCACCATATATTTTTTTAGGTCAAATGCTTTTTTAACTTTGAGAAAATGCCGTTTTAACACGACCACCCTAAATCGCCATTTTGTCAGGGAAAATATGCGCTGATTTTACCGACAAATTTCACGACGACAACCGTTTCTAATCCATCTAAAACCCTAAAAATCTTGTTTTCGGTTATTCAAAGGACCGGGTACGTGACTTACAGGAAATCTGAGTTACTTTTAGGAATAGAAATAATTGTAGTTTTGGAGCACACTATCTTACCTCATTTACGATACCCTCTTAACAAAACCGATTTTCACCATGGGATAAAGCTCCAAATCGATCATGCTTCTACTAGTTGGCTCTTTAATAAACAAGCTTTCAATTGACGTAAATACTTCTTTGGGCAAATGAATACGCGATAAACGGCAGCGCTTTGAAATCGTCCGTTTTTGACGTCTTGCAAGTCAAACGCTGTTAATTTACATACCGTCGAAGTAAACAATTTAATCAAGTATTTTAAGTATTTTACCTTTTGTTAAGAAGATATATTCTTGAATGGAGACTTTTTGCCTTGCTAAGTTTAAAATTGGTCCAGAAATCCCGATATATTTGTGAAATATCATCATATACAGGTATTTTGAGATATAATATTGTTGTCAGTTGCATGATAACTTCAGATCACTGTTCAATATTGTCTACTTTTAATAGCGCTAACATACAAAGCGATGAGCTGTTTATGGATTATATTTGTTACTAAATTTACCAAAATAATTAGAACTACAACTGTTTTTTTCCGAGGTTTTGTTCCATTTTGTCCATATTATTAAATTAATGTACCAGTTATGTATCGACTATAATGTTTACGAAGACGTAAGTTAATTATTAAGCAGGTGTTAGCGTGTGTGACATGAAATGAACGTTTATAATGTTTATCAATATAAGGAGTTTTTATTTTTAGTTTACCAGTCCTTATATTTGAATAGCCGAATTCATATTAGGGACGAGAAACTCGTCTTAGAGGGAAACTCGTCTGTGAAAACCCGCCTGAATATGAATTTAGGGACGGATAAATTCGAATTTAAGACGAGTTTCCCGTCTAATACGAGTTTCCCGTCTCTAATATGAATTCGGCTAATGTGTGTTAAAACTGCAAGGTCATTAAATCTCATTAAAATCCCACAGACCACAACGATTATACGTATTGATTGTTTCTTGACGATAGTAGACGCGTACGCATGCATGTTGCGTAAGAGGTTATTTCGCTGGCCTCAGAATGACAAAACGTAACAAAGCTTTACACTAACCCTATTCCAAACACCAACTTTATAACTTAAATCCCTACCATAACCCTTGCTCGTTATTAAATAACATACCGTAGTAAATAATTTAATCACCATTTCTAAGTCTTTTACTTTTTCGGGATAAAAAACTACTTGAAAAAGACCAGGGCTTTAAAAATTATTTGAAGTAGATAGTTATGATAAGACAGGGGTGGCGCCAGGGCCGCCCTTGCAGGGGGGGGGGGTGCAAAGGGAGCAATTTTCTCCGCGACCCCAGCTCAAGGAGGGCCGGCAAATACAAATTTGCAAGGGGGTAAAAAGTTTGTCGACAGAGGGGTGGGAGGAGAATTATTGTGGTTCACCGGGGCCCCAAAGATATAATTGGCCCTGGGCCCCCATATTTCACTGAGCTGGCCTGGGCTGCGCCAGTAATTCTCCGACGGGGGAAGTCATCGGTGCTCTCTTTTGTTCTTTGGCAATTGGCATTAAAACCACAAGAACTACCGACAACGAACTAACCGAAAACAAGATTTTTAGGGTTTTAGATCGATTATAAACGGTTGTCGTCGTGAAATTTGTCGGTAAACTCAGCGCATATTTTCCCAGACAAAATGGCGATTTAGGGTGGTCGTGATAAAACGGCATTTTCTCAAAGTTAAAAAAGCATTTGGCCTAAAAAAATATATGGTGCATTTTCCGATATAATAAGGTATATCTGGGCAAAATTTGAGCAAAATCGATTTTTCAGTCGTGGCCGCGAAATATCTCATATGTTCCATTTTTACCGACATTCACTCTTAAGGCCCATACAGACCGGATGCGATTTGGCAACGCGATGCAAATTTTCAGTTTTCAATGACATTTAACTTCAATGTTTTTCCAAATATTCGGAACCACTTAAGCAATTTTATCAATTTGGTCTGCACATTTAGTAAAATTTGTATCTGTTGATGGTTTTATTTGATTTTAAAAACTGAAAATTTGCGTCGCCTTGCCGAATCGCATTCAGTCTGTATGGACCTTTAGGCAGTCTTTTTAACAGCGCGAAAAACAAAAAGGCGGCGCTTACTAACAAGGAGTTTTTTCTTTAACTAAATTTGTTTATACTCCTTGCGATAAAGCGACAACAAAGAAAAAGGACCCACTGCTTCTGGGTCAGAGGAATTTTTCAGAAGCGAGAATAGCTTGGTGTGTACCATGGACTAGTCCGACTCCTAGAACCTTTGTATGCACGACAAAGAATACTTCTTCAGGTTAGTACTTTTATCGTACATTTTGTCAGAATAGTCAATAACCCCATCTGTATCCGCCATTTTGAATTGGGAACATGCAGAATTATGGGAAGAATCGTGTCATTTCCTGTCGCTTTATGTTGTATCGGTGAAGCATCGGTGCTGAAGGAGCCCCAGGGGTTGGGGGGAAACCGAGCTGCACTGCAATCACATCCTTGGTCTTCCTGCACTTGTTGATTAAGTATGACTGCACGAATGGTATGGGACCATTGCACTGCTAGCCTCTCCTAGCAAGGTTCTCGAAGCCTGTCTCAATCTTCAAAGAGAAGATCAAGTGTAGTTAGGAGGTCTTTTAGAGACACTTAGCTTTCAATGAAGTGATGTTTTGGCAATGGGGAGCAATTAGTTGTTCCAGTTCGAATTTATTCGAACAATCAGCCATACAATCATCTGAGTCTGCACAGTTGGGAGGTCTTTTAGAGGCACTCAACTAAACTCTTTGTCTTGGTTGGCCTTGCAGCTAGGTTAAGACTGCGCTAAGTTTCTTTATTAGTTTAGGCTAATAAAGTCTCTTAGGTTTTACTTTTTTTGTACTAGCGAGTTCTGTTAACTGCAGTTAACAGCAACTTTATAGGCACTTTCGTATTTAGCTACACTCGGCCGTTTTTGTAGGAACGTTCTGCTGTCTTGTGTGGTGGCCTGAGTGTCTAAGCTACTCACAAACTATTAACTCCTCAGGCCCGGGCCTGTGTTTGACCACTCTATACAGTGTTATACCTTTCTTGTGTTGTGTAGCGCCG